CATAAGAAAGAGTGTGGATAGTGTCTATTTCTCTTCACTTTTTTTAGTTGGGTGGAGGTAGGTTTGTTTTATTTTATTTTATTTATTTACTATTATTATTATTACTTGCTTGGTTATAACAGCTTATTTTTTAATTTTTAAATTGATTAAAATAAATATATTTTTTCATAAATAAACTGAACAAATACGTCCATTAGTCGACTGTTCTAAGCTAATCAAATATCTACATATATCATTTCTTAGTTCTTACAGCTGAAAAGTACATGAAGTGCATTTATATTTTGTTTAGAATGGCTACCAGGGTAGGGTAGAAAACCTTGCTAAGGGCTAACTAACAAAGTACTAGAACCTTCTCGTTTTTTTTTTTTTCTAATGAAAAGTGATTAATATATATGAAATAAAACATTCAGATATGGTCATATTATATTCTTTATGGTAACTAGATTCATGAATAATTGTCAACAAATAGTCTAAACTGCAAGGTATAGTGGTCAAAGTTTCATGATTATCGTATCAATGGTTTATTCGTATCATTATGAAAAAAATAATCGTTTTAGAATGTTTATGTGATTGATTACATCTGAAGTTGACTTAAACACTAAACAACTTGATGACTTTCAAACCCATGTTTTTTAATTGCATATGCATAGAGAACTTCCAAACTGAAATCAGAATTACAAATACAAGATGATTGAGCTTTACAAAAACAGGCTATTGTTATTTATTAAACGTCTGCTAGGATAAATATCTCTAAACATGAGTTTATTTGTAATTTTTTGGAGAAGTTATATAAAGAAACTTATACAAATTAGTTTTTACATAAACTAATTTGAAGTTATAGAGAAATATATATATATTTTTTTCTAGAAGTGCTTATGGAGTAATTTATTCAAACATGTGTTAATTAATTCAGAAAGCTAAGTTGTAGCAACTTGAAACATTTCTTCTTCTTTATTTATCAGGTATATGAACCAAGACTTGATGACCCAATTTCAAGGACTTTTGAGCAGTGCTCATCTGATACATTTCAGATAGATGGTGCATGTGCATCCCCCATTTGCTTTTTGTACCTATACAGATCAGGGGCAGAGGAATATGGTTGGAAGCCTGAGAGTGTCAAAATCTTTGGCTACAACTCAGAGCCTATTACTTTTGATTTCAACACCTCCATCCCCAATGGCACCTGGTTTGGCTATAATCTGTGCCAGACTCTTCCTCCTCCTCCTCCTCCTTCTTCTTCTTCATACCAACTATACCCTCACAAATGGCTCATCATGAGTTTGGTTGTAGCCTTTGTTCTTAGCTTCTGGCTGTAATAATGTTACCCCCTTGATCACATATACCATAACATGCACCTTACATATTATCAGTGAAGGGTGAATCTTAGTAGTAGTACTCTATGCAGAAAGTAGGGACATGAGATGTGAAAGACTGTTGGTCGAATTTGGTTAGTTATGTGGCTTGGTTTTAATGCCTCGTAGGAGTTATGTTAAATTTAAGTTAATGTTATGTGAAGAGAAGTGTAATACACACTCTCAAATTCCTCTTTTAAACCCTTTTTTAAACATTTTGTTAGCAGGAAGTATTTACAAACTTTGACTCGTTTGAAAGAATTTATGAATAAAGTATTTCTGTTTATTTTATGTTATAAGTGTTTATGAAAATATTTAGATAAATTTATAAAATATTAGTTTATAAAATGTTTTGAAATTATTTTAAAAACAAGTTCGATATAGTTTTTACTAATTTATTAAAAAAATACTCATGTATAAATCTTGTCATTGATGTAAATAGTATTTTTTTTTTCATTCTTTCATTTAGAAACAGTCTTATATTTTTTCATTACTCCTTCTGTAAGTTTTTGTTTCTCCATCCGAAAGATTTTGTTCCTCTTAATTTTATTTCTCTTCTCCTTCAAAATGTTTTCTAACTCTTCTTAAAATTCACAGTTTCCTATTACAAAAAAATTGTAACTTTTCTCTTTCTCTAAAATAGCACATTTGTAATAATTTTTTTTGTTAATATTTAGACTATTTTAAAACACGATTTTATAAATATATAAAATTGATTTTTAATTTTTAAAATATATAAAATCAACATATAAAATATTTTTTTTTATGATTATTCATCAATTTGAATGAATAAAACGATATATTAAATAATTATTTTATTTTTAAATTTGTATACTTGATTTATGTATTGAGAATTTTAAAATCAACTGTTAGATTATTGAAATTTGATATAAAATATGAATTATAATGTCATTTTTAAAAGTTATTTAAGTTGTTTTTTATATTTTCATTTAATTTCCATACAGAAATTATTTTTTTAATTTTTAAAATTTTAAAGTGAAATAACATCTAATAAGTGTTTGAATAATGATATATCTAAATCAAAAAATTTATTAAATTTAAAATACTTACAACATAAGTGTTTATTATAAAAGAGCTTATTAAATAAGATCTTAAATAAGTTGTTTGGCCAAATATATCCTTTATTGATGATTAATTTTTGTTCCAAAAACGTAATTGATCATTTTTAATAAAAAAGTTTCATTTGAAATTTTTTTTTTTATCTAAATGATTTGAACTCATGATCTTACTTTAGAGTACTAAGTTTAGTTTTGTTCAAATCTAGTCAATTTCAAAAAAGAATTGTGAGTAACACTCATTAGTTTACGAGATTTTTATTTTTTTTAAAATTTTTAATAAATTATAACATGAATATAAATTTATTATAAAAAAAAAATATGTTATAGAGGATGTTAGTATGTGGCAAACTAAAAGACACGTGATAAATGAGTTAACCTAAAACCTTCCGTTGTGAGATTTTTTTTTTTCATCAAGTATAAATTTCCTTGATTAGCTTTGAAAGTTGAAACACATTGCTTGGCTAGTAACTAAGAATAATTTTAGACCTGTTAAAATTGGCGTGGTTCAATATTATCCATGTAAGGGTAAATAAATTTACTTTAGTATTTTTTATAATATAATTTTTCTTGAAGTTGGTAAATAATACAAGACAATACTTAATTACGAGAAGAATAGTACAAATTGATATACAGTTGTGTTATTCCTGGCACGATTAATTTGTCTTTTTTTTTACTAAAAGAATCCTTATTTTTAACGATACATAAATATTTTAAAACAAAGTAATATATCTAGTTCTCAAAATAAAATTTGAGTTCACTTCTTAGTTAATGAGCATAAGCGTTAAACTATATGTATTTATAATTAAAAAGTTTGAAGCAAGTGTTTTAATGTGTTAAAACTATAGTCGAATCATTTGGACTGTATTTAAGTTTGATTTTTTTTTAGAAATAATTCTTATTTAAACTTTACTTGTTTTATGGTCAAGTCAGATTGCTCAAAAATAAAGTCTTAAGATATTAAAAAGAATTTCATGTTGTTATATTACTAAGACATTAACATGTTGTTTGAGAGATTTAAGAATGAGAATAAGTTAGACTTTAAATAAGAGTTTATTAGTTGTTAAAGCCTAACAACCCGATTTTTTAATAAAAAAATATTAATTTTTTTTAAAATCTATTTATTTAAAAAGGTTGAATTTTAACTTATAAAAAAGTCTATTAAACTTTATAGGTCAACCTATTTAATTACATGATATAATAAAATAATTTACATATTATATTGTTAACAATATAATTAAATAAATAAATTTATGATAAAAGAATCAAATTATATATATTTATTACATTTTTATTTTACTTAAATACTTTATATTTTCTGTTTATATGAAATTAATAAATAAAAGTTTAAAATTATAATAGTCGCATCTTTGTATGATTAGTTATTTCATTATTTAGAAATATTTCAAATAAAATATATAAAATATTTAGAAAGTTTTTTTATAAGATTATTTATATTATGTGTGAGTGTAATTAATATATGGGTATATATGAATTATTTCTCTTACATTGATTTTTTCATTTAAAATTTAATCTAAATAATAATAATAATAATAATAAAGTAAGATATTTTTTTATCTTGTAAATTTAAGGAGATGTATTGGATTATAATTTCAATAGATTTTAAAATATTTTTATGTTATAAAAGAGTCTTGTGATATTCAATCAAGACTTTTTTTTAATATAAAAAAGTCATATAGTATTAAATCAAGACAATCAAAATAGTTTTAGAAGTTTATCAAAATTTGGTGGCATTCAATTAAAACTTTTTTTACTTTAAAAAAGTTTGTTATTATTAAAAAATATAGAAATTTCAATGAAATATTTTAAATATTGAATTTTGTGAGACTTTTTAGTATAATATATATATAATACACTTATCAAACAATCTCACAAAAATCTTTTAGATTTCGCATAATTTTTTTCCTTGTTATTTTTACTCTTTCTTATTTTTCTCTCTCTTAAATCATTTCTCTTACTTTTCTTACTTATCTTTTTTTTTTCTCTTTCTCTCATTTTTGCTTTTCTCTCTTCTTTTCTATTCTATCACTTTTTTTTTCTTCTTTTTATTCACCTTTCTCATTCATCTCCTCTTCATCTCATATTTTCTCTCTCTCTCCTTCTCTATTATCTTTCTTGCTTCTCTTTCTCTCTCTCTTATCTTCTCTATCTCTTTTCTCTTCCTCTTTTTATTTATTTATCTCTTCTTTTTCTACTTTTTCTTCTTCTGTCAATTGATGTATAATTTATAAATATTTATTTTTTAATTATTAAATATTAAAAATTATTTATGCATTATTGAATTTTTTTTATCATTAAATTGTTAAAATTTAACCATTTATTTTTAATAAAACTTAATATTGAAATATAAAATTTGAAAACATATATTAAAAAGATTTTGCAGGTCATGATAATGACCTTCAAAATGAAAATGAAAATGAAAATTTTAATTTATGTCATGTATCCTTTAAAAATGTGATTGAGAGGATATTTATTATTTTTTAAATCATGTTTCACAATTTTTAAGTCAATGTCACTATTTCTATTTAAGACATAAACCAAACTTATATTAACATATAATACTACATAACTTTATTTGCAAAGAATGTCATTCCAATGAATTTTTAATTAAATTAGTGGATGAATCTTCATATTTAATGCTATTATTTAATGAATACCATAATTTTAAACATATTGTTTAGACTTAAGTGCATATGTCAATATATGAAGGATTAATATAATTTTATATATGTTATATTTTTTTATTAAATCTTACAATATTAAAAATCCATGTTTTTCTATGAAATTTATAAAATCCTTTAAAATCTTATAACATAAATCATAAATCCATTGAAATCAATTAAATACTGACGTAGTTTTCAAAGATGGTGCAAATTGGGGAGTAGGAGTGGTAGTTGTGACACCCATTTTACCCCCAACATATAATATAATAATAAAGAATAGTTCCTTCAACACGGGTAAAATGGTTCACATACCAAAATACTTTCTACTGTCCAAGTAATTTTAAACAAAAATTAGAAAATATAAGTTCGTAAACTCAACTATCAAATAAATATAAAATTCAATTACAATAAAATGAATAATCTAAAATCACTTGCCCCAATGTCACATTATCAGAGCAATCTCATGAATTAACTATTGGCACCTTGAATGCCACTCAAGTCCGGATCTTTTTCACTTAAAAACAACCACGAAACATATGGTGAGAAAGGAGACATTTACATGAAAAGCACAGTAGGAAATTTCCACAAAATAATCTCAATTTACAATAATATAGTAACACAATATTCATCATTCAAACATGCTCAACATCATTCAACCGTTTCACGCACACGCCCCTAATGACACATCACACGTCTAGCATCGTGTCACACACATGACTATGCCAATGCATTTCATTATTAGCATTGTATCACGCATACGATCGTACCGACGCATCACACATCTAATACCATGTCATGCATACGAACGTTCCCAAACATCACATAACCAACACCATATCACAGACACGCTCGTGCAGCATGTAAAGGCCTATATATGTAATTGTTTATCCGATCTTTGATCAATAATTTCTCATAAGGGAATGTAGTTACAATTGAAAAAAGTTTTCAACCAAAGTCTTTAAGTCTATAATTTATAAAATGAAGCACATAGAATAAAAGACAATTACCTAATCTCATATCCTCTAAAAACATCTTGAATCTTTTCTTTAGCTTGATCCATTTCTTTATAAATTGTCGCAACCGAGATCGCGACTGAACGACGAAAAATAAATAAAAAATAGGGAGTCGCCACTAATGTTATTTTTTAAGGAAAAACATTGGAAAAAATCATAAAATAGAAAATGGTCTACGAAAATTAGATTTTTGGGTTCGGAAGTCAATTACGTGTAAGGAAGGTATTAGCACCTTACAAAGTTCGTCTTAAGACGATTACCTTTAATTAATTAAGCAAATTTATTATAACTTTTAAAATATTTATCTCACCCCACATTAATATGAATTAACAATAATAATCAAATATATTGTTTAACAAATGTCTTTATTTTATTTTAATGAGTAATAAAATTATTTATATTATTATTATTATTAGAAAATGAGATAATATTGTTATTTTTATTTTTTTTGGCTCGACAGGAGTGACTTCCTGCTCCTACGTATC